TTTTATGGTAATTTTATGATTATAATTTGAAGCTATTGATTATTTTTTGATAGATTTGTAAAGCAGTTAAAAATAAATGTAATACATAAATTTTGGGGGTTATATGACCATTTAATAAAGCCTTCGCCATGTTTTCTTCATAAAAAAGCAAAGATAATGCCAACTTTGCAAAAAAATGCGTTATTTTTTTTTTAAAATTTTTTGTTTTTTTTTTCCCACAAAAATTTAAAATTTCGATTGGTAAATCTTACTCGGAGGGTAAGATTTATTTTTAATAGTAAAATAAATCTTAATCAAAACCTAAGATTAAATAAATTTTGATTGACAAATTTATGAGGACAAATTAGTTAATCAAATCTTAATCAAATCAAATTTTTAATTTCTGAGGACGCCACAGAAAGATAGTCATTGGTCGTGATGTAATATTTAGCGCATCACATGACTTCCGTAGTAAATTCGTTCTAATTGGTCAATATTAACCGGGTAATTGATAGGTCCAAGATTTACTATCTCACACTACAAATTAATTAATGATAATTAAATATATGGGACATAAAAGATAAACAATTATACAAATAAACAATTAGAAAATAATAATAAAATAATAATAGAGATTAAATTGTCCCAGAATTAAGAGATTTGGCCAAAAGATCTTTGTCAAAGTTTAATTCCGGTAACAATATTTTTATCCCAACAGGGATAAACAAATAATCAATTCAATTGTCATTTAATTAAATGCACATTTTAATTTTAGTAATAAACAAATAATCAATCCAATTGTCAAGTAAATGAATAATAAATTTCAATTGTCAATTGATTAATTAAATCAATTAGTAAAATGTGCAACACTTTGTTTTTAGTAATAAACAAATAATCAACTTGATTAAATGCATGTTTTATTTTTAGTAATAAACAAATTAATCCAAAAAACAGGATAAATGATAGTAATATTAAATAGCATCTTTAGCTAATAAACAATAAACAATTCAATTGTCAATTAATTAATAATAAAATGATGCTTTTCTTATAAAAAGTAAACAAATGATGTGATTTTTTCAATCTTTTCAAAAAAAAATTTATTCAATTTCCTTCCAATTTCCTTTGGCAAATAATACAATATCATCATCCATTATAAGAAATCAAAAGAACATTTTAAACCAAAAAAACAACTTTTTTTCTCAACCATTTTTTTTTATGATTAGAATTTGTCAATTCTGTTTTATCATTTCAATGTAAATACATACAAGCAAATGAAAGCTTCCAGTGATGACAAAGTAGAGATTCTTGCAAAAAAATGCAAAAATATTAATATAGAAACAGATATACCATATGCAGAATCTTCTAAAAATGCAGCCAAAAGAAAAGCAAATGAGGACATAAACAAAGAACAACAACAACAAAAAATCAAGTAAATATTTACCATTTATCTGCTTTATTTTTTTAGGAATATCCACTTAATATATATTTTTTAAATATCTAGAATGTCCTTGTCCAACTTGTAAGGGGAGTGATCATTCACGTTCTTCAAGCAACCTTTGTAAATTTCAAAAACATCATGCATCCAAATCTGTTCAAGAAAAAAAACACAAAATACAAACGATGCACAGTAAAAACAGGACTTGGAGGATTCCTTAAAGATAAAGATCTTGAGCCTGCAATCCAAAGTGCTGTTGAAAGATTGACTCAAATTGTTTTTGAAGGCTCTCGATTGGCTAACCAAACAGCACTTTATCACATGACCCTTGGTGATCAATTTCCTTTCAACACAAGTGAAGGTGCTTTCAAGTATATGAGGCAATGTTTCCAAGCTGTAACTACA